TGGCACCGCATGCACAGCACACAGTTCTTGACCTTCTTCCGCTTCGGGCCACCCGTTCCTCGCGGCTTCTTCCACGATGCACATATGATGGAACTTGGACGAACACATGTTGCACTGTCGGAGGGTTGGGCCGTCGTCGGCGCCGCACACTGAACACGTTTCCATGACACCGCAAATTGCAAAATGGCCACCATTAAAAGTTCCCGACCAATAGGGTGTCGTACAGAGTAAAACCCACCAATGGCGACGAACTTGCTGTCCCATCGCTCCTTCAACTTGATTGCGTGATCACAACGGCTGCAACGTCAAAGATTTGGGCATAGCCTCCGGCCGACTTCAAACAATGGGTCGCTAATGCACACGGCTTCGGCGACAGCAGAGGTCGGGACGGCGCCGGCGGTAACGGGATCGCGGCAAAGATTTGGGTATAGCCTCCGGCCGACTTCAAACAATGGGTCGCGAATGCACACGGAGTCGGCGACGGCAGAGGTCGGGACAGCGCCGGCGGTAACGGGATCGCGGCAAAGATTTGGGCAAAGCCTCCGGCCGACTTCAAACAATGGGTCGCGAATGCACACGGAGTCGGTGATGGCAGAGGTCGGGACGGCGGGGGAGTCGCGCGTCGGGGGAGTTGGGCGGCGGAGGAGTCGGGACGGCGGCTGCTCACAAGGACCTGTAGAATATATAAGACATCACACACACTGCACACATCACATACCTTGGCGTCAACGGCGCAAAGCGGCAGATCGGAACCACTTGATCGGTTGCTGGCAAATTCGAAAGTGAGAGAACTTCCTTGCACAAAATTTAAAATTCAAACTTTGAGCCAATCAGCGAGAATGGAGACTGTTGCACTCTACATACTGCTTAGGGAAATACATAACTGTTTTCATTGGCTGAACCATCCATCTGTTCCATTACAGACGTTGACAAATTTTTATAGTTCTCTGCGGGAAAAGAAATATTCGTCTTTTTCTGATTGGCTCCTGCCACCCTGCGAATCGCAGAATCCTTCACTGTTGAAGCAAATACAATGACTTTTGGCATTTTTCATTTTATTATTTGATCTGCCAACCTGCTAATCGCAGGTTGGCAAAGTCAAGTATACTTAAGAATACACTTGATTAAAGTATTGGACTCTCCCCACACGTCCGGGTTAACAATATACCTTGTTCTACACACCTTCGTCTGTGCACCCCGGTACAGTACATGTGATGATCCTACGTCACTATGCATAAAGATGGAGATTATCTATAACTTGTTCGCTCCCACGCGCCTCTGATCGACCTCCACTTCATGTGGGCTCTATTCGACGTGCCAACAACAAAAAAAGGGTTGCACCAAGTCAACAGATCTGGCCAATTACTAGTACAAGTCAACAGATCTGGCCAATCATGGTTGAGGATTCGAACCCCACAATGGACCCATTTCAGGGATTCTGGTATTAAGTTCCGGAGTTTTCCTCAACCCTATAAAGCTTCAGAGGTTATTTTAAGGATAAAGATAAATACTCATCTCCGAAATCTCCCTATTCCTGAAATTGTCTTCGTTCAATTGTGACCAGGAAATTTGGTTCGTAAATTTGAAATTCTACCTTTAGCAACCTCGGAGTTTTTTTTTTGTTTCAAAATTCCGAGCGACATGCATTACAAGAATTACTACGGTTACGATTTTGATTGGTACGATTTTGATTGGTGCAAATCGTTGATTTTGATTCAGGTTAACGCTAATCGAAACTGAGTTATGGTTGGCCAAATTGACCAATATTTTAGCCAACGAGAGCAGTGTTGCAGCTTTGAGTACAGCACAGCAGCAAATTTTTAACGATCATACACTACGCAACTGACTACAGTAACTCACTGTACCGAGTAACTTGCACTGGGCGCCCAGTGAGAACTAAGTATAACGATCCACCGCCGCGGCAGCGCAGCGCCGCATCGAGTAGTACATCCTAATCTACACCTCACGGGGTAAAAATTAAAGAAAACAAATACTATTGTGCTTTTCATGTAGTTTGCCCGTTGTTTAACTGCGTTAAACAACCAGACGTTTAAAATAATATAAGCCCGATTGAATAT